AAAATATGCAATAAAATGATTTATTTGAATATATTGTGCTTAGTACTTATGATTTTTAAGTTGTTTTGTTGATGAATATTAAAAAAATACTTGGATTAAGAATTATAAATATTTTTAGAAATTGCATGAATTTGAACTCAAGAAATACAGGGAATTGGGAAGAATCCATGGGTAACTATTTTTTTAGATTTGATGTGTAAGAAAAATGTTAAGTAAAAAGAAAAGTTTTAAAAAGTTGATTAGTGTATGTGGTAGCAGTATAATGATATTCTTTATACTGTATCATTTCCTTACACTTGTGCATTGGTACATTTATATGTTTTAATTAAAGTTAATCTTGTGAAAGTTCACAAATCTATGTAGTATTCTAATAGTTGAACACCAGTTTTTAGCAAAGTTGTCTGGTAATATCTGAAGATTCCAAACAGCTGATAGTGTTACTGTAGTTTTACAATTTTAAACTGCAAAATGAAACTGCATGTCATTAAAGCTTTCAGTGTAAACCTAAGTTTTTAACAGAAAATTAAATAAATAATGCTTATATGGATATATATATATATATTTAAACTGTAAGCTTAAAATGTCATTGACTGTGAATTTTCGTGAATGAGATTTGTACTCTCTCTTGGTGTTGTATGATATTTTAAAGGTGCAACTATCATGTCCTTTGTTTTTAAGATACCAACCATAATGTTGGTGGTATTTGAAGTTAAGTTACTTTGAATAGAAATATTTTACAATCAGTCAAGATGTTGTAAAACAAAACTTGGGTTATTTTGATTACTCTTTGGATTACTTTAATTTATATGTGCATTTCATATGACTTAAACTAGACAGAGAATGAGTAGTTACTTGCAAGTATATTAAAATATTAAATTATATCAATGAATAATGAATATTCTAAAATCTTCAAAGGAGAGAACATAACATAAATGTTTGTAATTTCCTATTTACTGCCTTTAGTACAAAACATTTTATTAATGAAAAAAACTAGTATTGAGTAACATTGAATTGTACCTGTTTGTTTATTGTTTTGTTAAAAGATTTGATCTTATGAGTAGTTTCTGTTACTAGAATTTTAGATGGATTCAAACCTGCTATCTCTGTGGCTGAGCCAGAACTTTTGAAAAAGATCTTGGTGAAGGACTTCCATGCATTTTCAAGGGTGCGGGTAAGTGGTGTGTCATTTGTGTGACTAGAGTAGAGTAAAATAATTGAATTATTTGTGTATACTCATTAATTCTTAATGCAAGTTCATTTTGAGGCTTCAGAAAATTTCTGAAATCACATACAACATCAAAATATTCGTCTTTCTCCTGTTGAAATTATATTTGACTGAAGATATGTTTTGAATTATTTCAATGAACCAGTATTTAATAAAGCACTGAAAATGTATCTTAAAATTATTATTTACAAATTTTTCATGATGAATTTGTACTCAACTGTTACTCAATAATTGTATTATGGACTTCTAGGATAACACACCAGAGAAATATTTTATTACAAAGTACCCATTTCCATTGGAAGTCTTCAGATTGTTTACTTAAGCTATGTGGAATGTAGATCTGATTTCACTTAGTTCTAATGATCAAGATTGAAGGTGTGGTCAACTAACTACCTTCTTCAGATTTTTTACTCAAGCTATGTGGAATGTAGATCTGATTTCACTTAGTTCTAATGATCAAGATTGAAGGTGTGGTCAACTAACTACCTTCTTCAGATTTTCTGAATAAGGGGAAGTGTTTTAGGAACTTTGATCTAAGTCTAGCAGTAAGTTATTAGTGATATATTGTTTTAGACAGGAGCTTTAGACCTTTTTGTGGAGTCATCATGGAGATTCTCATCCTCATAATGAATTCACAACAGATCTTTTTATGTGAAACAAGTATTGATGTTTTTATTCTTTTACTTGCTAGCAAGAGAAGTTCCTTCATAACTTATGTAGTTGATCTCTCGTCATTTCAGGAATATTTTGTTCAGGGTATGGAACTTTCTTAGCATTTTTCATCTGCAACCAAGGCTGGTAGTTTTTTTTTCATGAGAGGATATCTAGTTTTAATGTTATTGAATTGAACTACATCAGGAAGTTAGGTTTTTCAAAAGTAACATTTGTTATTGAGTTATCACTAGGTCTTATATCAGCACCATAGGACTATCCCCGATGTAAGTGCCATCTTAAAAAAGAACAAATTGGATTCAATATTTCTTTCCTTAATGAAATGTCCAGATTCTGCTATTTCCAGTGACATCAAGATGTTTTCAGGATCTTGTGAGGCTTCTTTTAGCTATTTTAATGTCTGTGAATACCTGTTATTAACACTTTTGGTTTTATAAATATTAATGTAAGAATTCCATATGACCTTTTTTTTATTCATCTTCATCAGTCTCTACATCTTTTTTTTTCAGTATAGGAATGACACATCTGTTGAATAAATTAGATTATGTATCTGTATACCAGTAGTACTTGTGTTTTTTTTTCACTTTAAAATACATCTTTTCATTCATTATTAGTTTTGGGGTTTCTCATCAGCATGGTCATCTAGCTAGGAATTTGAATTTTCTGTACTGTTCAGCTGGCTGACATTTCCTCTCAAACTTTAAAAAATAAGATTGTTATGGTCTCTTTCAATTTCTTGGAAATGTGGGCATATGTTACTCTCAAGGAATAAAAATAGTAGTTACACCTCTTTGTAGTAAAAGTACTTCTTTGGTATTTCATCAAACCAGATTTTGAATGTGGTTCAAAAACCTGCCAATAGACTCTTGTGGTAGATGAATATACCATCTATTTCTATTTTCTTGCAGTATAATAGCATTTATTCTGAACTTATTCTGGATACAAACAGGTTCCACACTACACATGATCAAGAAAACCATTAATTTGATTTTGTTTTAAGTTCCCTTCATTCCTTTTTATTCTTGAAGTAAGTAAAAGCTGTTACCAATCATGGAGAACATTGCTTGATGCTACCTCATGGTAGTACATGTGATGCTGAGTAAATGCATGGTTTATTTGAAACTGAGAAATGTTGGATTTGACATTGTGGTCTGGAACATCACTAATGAACTCTAGTAGAACTTGGTCATTAGTAGTCAGTTCAATGAAAGTGATGGTCTGGTATAAATAAACTACAAGTGCATACACTATGTTTATGTTTAGTGTATAATAAGGATTATTCATTTTGTGTATCACTTTTTTGTCTAATCTTATCATTTCATTTAAAATCAACTTTCAGTTAGTAAGAGATTTACTAATACTCCATAACTGACACCTAGAGTGAATCTCCTGTTATTTAGTGGACCTATCCAATAACTCAAACATGTATTCAGTTAACCTGACTATACCACACCCATTAGGTACTTTATAGACCACTTTGTTTCATATATATGGTACCTTGCTCTTATTTATATCTTGATTTTTGAGAATACATGTAAACGAGGCACCAATGTGTTTTGGTTTTTATTCATTTTTATGAGCATACAACTCTTGCTATTTGTTTGATTGGAGTTTTAACTTTGTATTAAAAGCTCTTATCTTGCCATCATAAAGCCTTCTTATTTTGCTACTTTTTTATGCTCCTCATGATTGGGTCTTCAAAGCCCATTTTAAAAGACTTGTTCCTTTCTGAAATTCTGAATGACTTAGTTCTCACATGTTTATTTTTGAACCAAAGAAAACTGCCATTTCTCTGTTTGGCATGTGTGTTCTTCCTTATAACCTAAGAAAGTGACTATGATCGCACCCCAATTTTGTCTATAGTACTAGAATGTTCTAATCATGGTAAGTATGGTATCATGTGTGGGAGTTTTTATATAACATGGATAGCTCTTGTTAACTATCAAAAGAGTCTTCTTTTGAACTTTTTACTTTGTATAAATAGGCCTCTTAGTTTCTACTTTTAAACATGCTTTTAAATAGTTTTCAAATTTGATTGAATTGTGCTATTTGTAGAAAAACCGCTGAGGTCATGGTTCAACATCAGTAATTATATGATGTCTTTTATTTATACAGAAAAGTGCTTGTTTCTATTTTAAACATACCTTTTCCAGTTGGGAACTTCAACATTTGTAAAATAGTTTTTGATAGAGCTAAGTTACAAGTGTGTTTTAAAATGTATTTGATCAATGAAATATAAATAAACAAAATTGGTTTCAGGATTTCACAGTCAGTGATTTTGTAATGGACAAGATGCTATTCGCTCTTCAAGATGAAGATTGGAAACGAGTTCGCACAATTCTAACTCCAACTTTCACTTCCAAGAGAATGAGAGATGTAAGAGATGTTTTATTTCTAGTTAGGAATAGATTGGTGAAATATTGTGAAAGAATTATTCAGTATACTTTTGCGCTTGTAGCTTGTCAAATACTTGTAAGTAATTCATTTTAATGCCAAGTCAAACACTCCCTAGAGATTTTGTGTCATCTATATTAATAAAATATTGTTTTTAAATATCTCTTTCCATTTTTCTTGTAACAGTTTATAAGTTTTATTTATTGACACTAAGTTTAAACAGTCTGGTTTAGGGTTTGCAATAGTACCGGCGGTACCAGGTTGCTGGCACCAGTACTCAAGCATCTAATAATGTGAATTTAGCAGTTAGAAATTCAACTATTCTTCCCAGTGTGTTCTCGTGGGAATTTTTTTTTTTTTTTACATCAAACCAAATTGTCAGTTATCTATAAACTCATGTGGTATGATGACTATAGCAATGAATCAGTTGAAATCTATGCTTTCTATTGATTATAGATTTAATGGTAGTCAGCCTCAGAAAAATTTATTAGCAAATTGTAAATTAGAGCATGTCAGAGGTAGGCATGGAAAGAAGTTTCTGAATTTTCATTTATTGTTCTTTAGCGCCATAAGATTGAAGAATATAAAAATATATCTTCAGAATATCAAAGATGAAATTATAGAGAATATTTTACGTTACATTTTATAGTTTTCTAGGGGTGAACAAAAAAATCCAGAAGAGGAGATGGCTCAAAAACGAATTTTCAAATTCTCACACTAGGGAAGTTTGCAGTTGTTTTAAAATATTTCCTTACACAATTAAGAATTTAATACTCATATAATATTAAAATCTGATTTATTAACTATGGTTTGATGTCAGATATTTTCGTATATCTTGATAATTAAGTAATTTAATTAAATTTTGAATGTAACTCGCTAAAATACTGTGACATGCGCAGTTTGACCTGAGTTAATCACACACGCACCTACCTAATGTGCAGTCAGTCACGTAGGCACATTCACATTCTCTTTCAGAGAATGGGAGTCAACAGTTTCCCATATTTCATGCTATTGCCAATTTTCATGGTTGGATTTGCTTATTGACTGAAGTATGAACTCAAAACTACCACATTAAACATTTATAATTCTGTGAAAAGCAAAGCTGAAATACCAGAGGAGACGTTTGGTCTAAACTCCAACGATGGAACATGTGATAACAGATATTATTCAGATAATTAGTTTCAGATAAGTAATGAAATATTAAAAAATGTCTTTGATTTTTACTGCATATTGAAAAAAAATCTGATGCTGAGAGAATTCTTTATCAGCAATATAGTAGTGAAAGAGTTAACATAAATATATCTTGTGTATGGATGATTAATGGGGCTTTGTTTTACTGATGGGACCTTTATGTATACATATAACTTTTTTGTTAGTTATATGATTGTCATAATCTGAAGCCATATTTTATGCATTTTCTTGTAGATGGCTGAACAGATTGGAAAGTGTGCAGATGTTATTACCAATTCCTTTCTGAAAGCTGCTGATGAGGGAAAACCAGTAGATTGTAAAAAGTAAGTTCTGCAAAACAAGTAATACAGCATGTGTGTGCTTACTTCAAAGTTAATTAGAAGTTTAGGCTTTAGTGAACTGCTCCTATCTGTGTTGAGAATGGGATGACATTCAAGCTTCTGTACTGAGGCCTTCTTCAGAAGCAGTCCATTAAACCCAAAATGCTACCTTGTCTAAAGTACCCTTGATCAGAAGTTGTGGAAGTATTTTTATTTAAAGTGGTATTAACGAACTCTCTATGGTACTAGCTTTCTTGGTAATTTCTAGTAATTCTACTTAAAATATTTAAAGTTTTTTTTTATGTGTATCACAGCTTTGCTCATTAATAATAATAATAATAAAAAAAAGAATACTTGTGGTAGTCTGAGAAGCTCAAAAGTCACCTAATAGTGATAGCTAGTAGTTTACTCTGTAGCTTTGCTGGAAGAATGCTTGCCTTGTGTACGAGAGGTCCCACATTTACTTCTGATTGTGGGAGTTACAAAAACTGGTTTACAATTGTAAAACTATGCCAACAAGTATAACAACTGTCTTCTAACCCTGAGATAAGGCTAACGTAAGACAAGAATAATGTAGCATTACTTAAAGTTGGGCATTTCCAATCAGCTTGTTAACAAGCTTAAAGTGTTTAAAGTTAACATACCAGAACATTAAAGGACAACAAGAGACATTTTGGTCCATCTAAATCATCCTTTCCACTAAATGAAACTAAACATTAAAAACTCAAAGTCAGATCTCTAGGATTTAAACATGTTGATTACTGTATTGCCCATAATTAAAGCCCCCTCTCTAATAATTGTCCCCACCCCCAGTATTTTTGTAAAGTGTACCTTGTGTGACAGCGATAGTAATGCAACATATAATCCTTTAATGTAATTCTATGGCAATAGTTATCCAATATATATATAATCCAACATTTTGTCCAACTTTAAAATGTCGATCCTTGGCCTTCTTGTCATAAAAATGCTTTTGACTACCTTGAGCTGCATATAAACTCTGTCGAGCAAGTTGACAGGTTTCTTCCAGTCAGTTTCTGAGATCTAACACATACTGGTATGTGTTCCTTACTTCTGACTCTTTTTCTTTCATCCATAGCTCTTTCAGTACTTGCATCAGACCTCGTATGTGTTCGTTACTTCTGACTCTTGTTCATCCATCCATAGCTCTTTCAGTACTTGCATCAGACCTCGTATTGTTCTTCCATACAATAATTCGAATGGTGAAAATCCTGTTCTTGCTTGTGGGACTTCTCGATAAGCAAATAATACTGCCTGTAAGTACCTGTCCTAGTCATGTGGTCTCTCTTGGCACATCTCCTTTAGCATACTCTTTAAAACTCCATTCACTCTCTCCCATAGTCCTTTACATTTAGGATTGTACGGGGTGGTAAAGAGTTGCCGACTACTGATGAGTCTGCACACTTTCTGCATCAGTTCTGAAGTAAACTGGGTCCCTTTATCACTAAGGATTTCTCTCGGAAAGCCTACTCTGCAAAATATCTCCAGGAGGGCTTCTGCTGCTCTCTCTGTCTCTATCTTTGGCAGTGCTATTGCTTCAGGATAACGTGTCGCATAGTCGACTACTGTCAGAACATACCAGTTGCACTTGTCAGACACAGGCGCTAATGGCCCGATCAAGTCCACAGCTACTCTGCTGAATGGCTCTTCTATGAAAGGCATCTCCCCCAATGGCACTTTGGCTACCTTCCCTCTAGGTATTGTCCTTTAGCAAATGTCACATGACCTGCAGAATCTACTCACATCTCTGATAACTCCTGACCAATGGAAGTTACTGGTGATTCTGTCTGCCATTTTCTTTGTTCCTAGGTGTCCTCTCACAGTTGATTCACGAGCCAACTTCATCACTTGAGTCCTATATTTTGTTGGTACTATGATCTGTTTAACTTCCCCACTATAACTTCCTTGATAGAATCGATATATAGAACTCCCTTCTGGTCCTTTATTCTAAAAGTATCTTTCCCATTTGTTTTGTGCTTGACTTTCTTCCGGGCATTGTCCCAAAGTTTCTGTAGTGAAGGGTCTTTCTTTTGTGCTTCCTTCAGTTCCTGCGAACCTAAGTTCAGGATATTGCCATTTGGCACTTGCTGGGGCTTGATGTCTCGTTTGCTCTTCTTCTCTTGAGCTCTGGCGGTGACAGCAGATGCTTCATCAATCATCTTTCTGTCTAGTTCCTCAAAATTTCTACTACATGATATATTTCCTATCACCAAGTCATCTATTGGTTCCTTGATACACATGGCCTCAAGATCTCCTACAGAATATGAGGTATCCACCTTTATATTTGCTATGGAAAATTTTCTCACTGTCCCATTAGTTAGCACACATAGGTGTACCTTGCCTGTCATCTGACCATTAGATACTAAACTGGTTCTCACTACTGCACCCAGTGTCTCATAGAACCATCATTTTCTTGTCTCCAACATAGCCTTCATATATTGACATATGATTTGTTGGCACCTCTTGATATTTGTAACATGCTCCCATCACTATTGGCACTGTTGATTCATTTGCTAATTTGAGCCGACCATTAGTTGTGCACTGCTCAATCACGTTTTCTTGTATTAAATATGACAAGTAGTCTTGATTCTCTTTCTTCTGGCAGCAGCATCCATAATGCCAATCACTCTTTTCTTGTTTCTTACCAGCACTGTCTTTGTAAATGGCTCCAGCTGGTTTATGTTGAGGTTTCTGCTGTTGTTTGCTGGTAATGGACTTGCACTCCTTTGCGATGTGACCCATTTTATAACAAACATAGCATCTCTTCTCCCTTCTGTCTATTAGCCTCCTGTCACCTTTGGTAAACACCTGCTTCTGGTCAGCCATTACTGGTTTCAAACAGTGACATGTCAGTTGAACACGTGGTCATGAACTGTTCACATACTAATAGGTCTGCCAATCCCTCAAAAGTATTTTCACACATGGCCATGTCCGCAGACTTGCCACAGACTGAAATACAGTTTCTCCAGTGTTGGGTTTTACTCCTCTGAACTTCCGATGAAAACCATCTTAAGTAAGTTCATATCGTTTCAGTAAAGCTACTTTTAATTTGTCATAATCTATGGCATCTTCTGACGTCATGCCTGCATATACTTGTAGGCCTTTTCCTGTGAAAAGTGGGCTGAGACAGACTGCCCAATCACCTTTGTCCCAGTTCTGACTTTGGGCGAATCTTTCGTATCTCTCCAGGAAAGCATCCATGTCATTTTTATGTTCATCAAATTTGGGCAGCTTGGGTTAGCTAGTCCTGAATCCATCGTCATTTTTGGGTTCTTCAGTTTGGTGAGTTTTGCTGTTTCAATTTGTGCTCTTCTTCTCTCTATTTCTAGTCTCTCCTCTCTCTCCTTTTTATTCTTTCTCGATTTGTATTCTCATTCTTTCTATTTCTAGTTTCTTCTTTTTCTCTTTTTTTTTTCTTAATTTTCATTCTAATTCTATCTATTTCTAGGTTCCTCTCTCTCTTTTTTCTTTGTCTTTCTCTATTCTTTTCTTCTTTCTCAGTTTGTATTCTCATTCTCTCTATTTCTAGTTTCTCCTTTCTCTCTTTTTCTGCTCTCTCCTTTTCTTCTTTTAGTCTTTCTCTTTCTTCTTTCTCTCTTCTGTTGCTGGTTTTCTCTCTTCAGTTCTTGTTGTTGTTTAACAAATTCTCATAGTTCACTGTCTTTTAACCCAAGTTGAGATCCGCTTTCTACCCATTTATCGAAATCTACTACAACTACAGTTGTGCATACATAGGTAGGCCTACTTGTTTCCGCTGTTGTTCACATTTTCTTCTATCGTCATTTACCACTGTATAATCCTGGCTGTGGTATGCCAATTGTCAGAATTTAAAAATATAAATATATATATGTATATAGGTTCTTCTTTTGACCAGTTGTCAAAACAAAAGGCTTTTACTTACATTTCTTAATAGTATAAATATATACTATGTTGTTATTGGGCTTAGGATTCTTCTATAGTAGGTGTCTGTGACTTGTTAATGTTTGTTTGTTTTTGAATTT